GACAACTGATAACATAACCTCTGTATTTACATATACCGCTCCCTGTAAATCCTCTGTGTGTTTGCATGCCGTGTGACTCCCTGCAGGCTACCCATGCAGGGTGTTTAATGGGCAGCCACAGCTGACAGGCTGCTCCAGAGCACAAACACAGTCAAATTTGTCATTCCCTCCTAAAACCATAAAGTGTTAGTACAAATGTTTAGCCACTCGTGAAATGTAGTTAATGAGATTTTATACAAGGCCGGTCAACTTGGTTTAGTATGCAGGCTGAATGAAAGCTAGAAGCCATGGAGACACTGTGTTGTGCTCGTCAAGCTTAAGTGAGGCTTTAGCTATCGCTAAGTAATGCTAATGAACTCTAAAAACTGTAGCCCTCTTCACACTGCCCGTTCAAGAGCTTGGCCATTGAGCCAGAATTGAAAGCAAAATCTGTTATGCCTTTAAAGCAGGATAGAAGGTGAAAAAACGTCTGTGTGGAGGGGGGAGGAACTATGGGTTACATGTTCTGCAACGTGTCATTTTTATGAAATGAGTGCTGCATTTTGTGTTTATTACTTTGGCCTGTAAGAACCACCCAGTGGGATTATATTTGGGTCTCTGTTTTTTGTAATGACTGCACCAATGAAGGAAATTTTTTTGCTAATTGCCATGTAGGGTACGTTTATATCTGTGGGTATAAACCGTCTGTAAGAATATATGTAGTTTGAAAAAATCTCAGTTTATTTTTGGCAGAAGGAATAAAAAATATGCTATAAATCCCAGTTTTAGACCTAGTTACACAGTCTTCCTCTCCCTCTCTCCCTGCCTCCAACGTTGCATGTCTCGCCCACCACCTTATTTGCTCTTCAAAGGGGAAGCAAAGCATCTGCCTATTACGAGGAGCCCAGGGCACTCTGCAGAGTTGTGTTAAGTAATAACAAGCTGTGACGTCAAAGGCTTTCCGTCTGAGCTGGAAAGAGGGAGGGCAACGAGGCAGAAAAAAAAGGAAAGGGAGGAGGTTCGACAGACATGGAGGTGGTACAGTGGGAGAAAAACCTTGTTTATTTGTGTCAGCTGCTTGTCTTTGGCTTATTTGCCACTGCTGTATAAGGCTGCAAATAAAAGCACAAAGACAACACAAAAGACTATGAAATAAAGAATCTGAATCTTTGATTGATGAGATCATTCTTTGCTTATCAGAGGCAGATAAATGTTAGTGAACTTAGTGAAATTATTACTTTTTTCTAAGGGTTTAGCAACAATATACGACAGAATTTTACACGTGGGAGCAGAATGGATGTCTGTATGTAGGCCTATCTCAAGACCTTATTGTTTTCTATGTGTTAATGAAAACAGGAAATGAGCAGATGTCTTTGATCAGTGATTCATTTAGTCAATTTATCGCTACATCTATTCACTTAAATGTAAGTTAAGACTTATGTGGTTATTACAGATATAAGGACGTTACACTCCATATGGATAACTGACAGGAGCGGCAGTGAGTGGTGGATACATTAGGCTCTAATGATTAGAGGATTAAACCCTAAGACATAACAAACTCAACAGGCCTGTTATGGCTGCCAGCCTTTCTCTGTCAGGTGGCAGCAGTTTGTCACCCCTGCAAATAATACAACTCTACACATAATGTACACCCTATGAAAAAAACAAGAACAACACTGTGTTTAAATACTGCTGCGTTAAAAAAGCATTTTAAAAAAAACGTCTTCATGGCAATGATCCTAAGACTGGCATGTGACATTAGCTTGTGCTGAGCTGTTTACAATAAAAACAATCCGTACAGCTTTGCCAGGACTGTGGGACTCGCAGTCCTGTTGGCAGTCATTTTAGTCGCCCACCCATTTCCACTGCATGATAGATTGCGAACCTGAGTACACACAGCAGTATCAAACCATATAATCTGTGCCCAACTAATGCCCCTGCTGGAGCTGCCGTCTGTCCTGCGTGTTTGATCCTGAGAGCACTTTCCACAGGAGCCCTTTAGCACACTGCTCACAAGCACATGACTCTGCTTGGCAAACCCTAAGAGCCTGAAGAATGTCCGAAAGTCCTCTCTGACAGCATACCTCCCTCTCCATTACTGTCAAAGCAGCTGTGATGACAAAAACATTAAACACATAACACTACCATGATGCCAATAGCTTAGCTTTAAATACAAAAAACGTATAAGTCCATGCCTATAGAATGGCACATGATGAATTTGTTCAATCTATTCCCTGCTATGCTAGGTTACTTTATTTTTAGCTTAATGTAAGCCTGTATACAAATACAAAAAAAAACAACAAGTCTTCCCAGCACTGTATCCCTTGGGTTTTATTTCTGTTGCATTCCGTTTACTATACTTAACCTAGGAGCCTCTAACATAGTTCAGCGGTGACTTAATGCCATGAACATACACACATATGTGCTAGTGCGCTTTAAATCGGGCAACAGCGTGCGTGCAGCAGGGCAGTGACGTGCGCTGCCTACATCAGCACCTTGGATACGGGTACACCATTCACCACAGGGCTCCTGCCCCGTTTTGGACCAATCAGCGCGCGTGTTTTCCAGCTCGCGCTCAGCACCACCCACACTGCTGCCAGCTGTATTGTTCCGCTGTAGGGAATCTCCTCTCGGGCAGTTTATCACCATTCAAGACAACTCCTGCAGTATTTTTCCTGACACACGGCGTTGAAATATATTCTGTGAAAGAATCTGTTTTAATAAAGAAGCACTGTGCTTTATATGATGAGATGAGACAATAGGTACGTGTCTCATTCTGTGCTTTGTAGAGGAATGACACAAGTAGTTATTAAAAATGCTCTCGACATATCATTAACAGTCATAGTCAACTGTCATATGTCGATAGCACACACACTGTTTGTAATATTGTCTCATACTGATGGTTTGACTAAACTAAATGCATATGGGCTGACTGACATAAAATACACACTCACATCTACGGCACTAAAGCTTCGATATGGCGTATGTATAAAACATTTGTAAACTCCGGCTAAGACAGAATATAGAGTAAACAAAATAGTTTTTCTGTAGAACTATTTGTATGTTAACAAAACATACTTTAGCTTCTCCCTGTCAGCAGCACAGACTTCGGTTATCTCTGACGCACGTCCTCATCATAGGCGTCTCTCCTTTTTCTCAGAATCATATGCCTCAAATTGGCAGCCCGAACTGGCTAATGAGCATCCGAGTTCTGTAAATATTTTAGGGCGGGACTCCCACTCCTGACCAATCACAGCTGCTAGTATTGTTTTGACCTCTGAAACCGTATCACCGCCTACCTCGTGCCCATGGCGGAGGAAATCTATAAATAAAGGGAACACGGTATCAGAAGGGGACGAAGTTGCGAAACTCCTGTACGGGAGGGAGCTACTCTGCAAGCCTGCTGAAAGAGGAAAAAAAAAAAAACGAAAAATAATCTTAAAATTAGAAACCGAAGCAAACCGTAAACGCAAATCCTCCGAAATCTACATATACTGGAATACTTCTTTTGTAACGTTGCTTCAATATTCAATGTGAAGAAAGTATTTATACTTTTTTTCTATTTGCACTAACTAACGGTACTTCAAAACTACTGAGAATCTTTATTTTTTACGGAAACGTAAGTATTTGATTCATTTTATGTACGTACTGGTGGTTACATTTGTTTGCTGACGTGCTAGCTCTATTTATACTTTTCTAAGCTGATCTGCTGCGTCAGTTCACGAAGTTAGGGAGGGGTGTAGGTTTATGCAGGCGTTTAAAAGTGTTCAGAAATGACTTGCTTTTATCTCACTGAAAAGGCAAGTACTAATATATTTTGTGCTCGTTGGTTGGCACCGTGACATATGGAACTTAACTGCCTCTGACGTTACAAACGGCTGTCTCACTACCGCATTCTCTGCCTCTTCTTGTGGTCTTTAAACGCACCTTCGAACTGCGTGAAAACGAGTTTTTAATTCCCTACAGAAACCTATTATTCGACCTGTCTCATTTGGGTCGACCACGAGCGAGCTGAAGTGGTTCTCTGTCTGAATTCGTTTCTCATTAGATGCATAAATGAATCCACTTGTAGGCAGAGGGAGGGCCAACAAGTTCTCGGTGTGCATTTCGGGCTATCTCACGCCACATCTCACTTAATACTTATCTGTGCGTTTTAGTGCATGCATTTTCACTCTGTGGACGTTTTCTCAGCTATCTAAAAATTGCCACACATGGGTGTTGCCAAACATAGTTGTATTTTTGTCTTATGTCGACATTCCTTTCGGTGTAGGAAGCTCTCCGACGAGAAAACAATCCCGTGACTGGGTTGTAGGCTTTGAAATCCACCCAGATCATTTCCTCGCCAACTTATCCACCATTCGAAAAGACTGCCAAAGCATTAAGTCGGTTAAGTTTAGTGTTAAATAAGCGCAGTGTCGCTGCAGTAGTTTTCCTCTCCCTGCCGTATGGAGGCGATCTGATGGCTTATTATGTAAGAGGATCCACTGTTCCAGTGGAAGGTTAATGTGCCCAGCACCTACTGTTTGACATATATGTGAACAGAGATGCCAGATGAACAAGAACTAAAGCTTGACCCCGTTGGTTTCATATGAATATTTTAGCAGCTGCTGTGAGGTACTGCTGGAAATGAGAATGTCACGTTTGAGCCGAAGGTTGTCAAATACCACAACGTGCTTTTCGAAACAAAAGGGAACTTGAAGAGTCTCAATGAAATTCCCAAGTCAACTTGATGTGCTGTAAATACCAAATTAATGTATACGTGTTTGTTAAAGATTTCTTCTTCATCTCCTAATTGTTGCAGGAAATATCGCTATCTTGCTCTGTGGAAGGACGCCACTACTTACAAAACCAGCACTTTTGATTTCGAACCCTGTTTCATCCAAGTCCTGGTTGCTCTCCCCCCTTCCTGCCCGGAACGCGTCTGTGTTGCCAAACACGGATAATCAAACCAGAACCGGTGGACACACTCAAGGTCAGACACAGCTAATCTTCACACACCTGGTACACTTCAGCAGTTCGCTATGCAGCTTGAAATCCAAGTGGCTCTCAACTTCATCATCTCATACCTATACAACAAGCTGCCAAGGCGGCGGGTCAACATTTTTGGCGAGGAGCTGGAGCGGCAGCTGAAGCAGAAATATGAAGGACACTGGTACCCAGAAAAGCCATACAAAGGCTCAGGATTCAGATGCATCCACGTAGGTGAGAAGGTGGACCCCGTGGTGGAGAAGGCAGCCAAAGAGAGCGGGCTGGACATCGAGGATGTTCGCAATAACCTGCCCCAGGACCTCAGTGTGTGGATTGACCCCTACGAGGTGTCCTACCAGATCGGCGAGAAGGGGCCGGTCAAGGTGCTGTACGTTGACGACAGCAACGAGAGTGGCGGCAGCAACGGAGGGCTCGATTTGGACAAGGAGATCAAGAACAGTTTCAATCCGGACGCGCAGGTCTTCATGCCCATCAGCGAGCCCGTGCACGGCGCCTCCCCGGGATCCAGCTCCCCCTCTCCCCCCTTCGGTCACTCGGCGGCGGTCAGCCCCACCTTCATGCCCCGCTCCACTCAGCCTTTAACCTTCACAACGGCCACCTTCGCCGCCACCAAGTTCGGCTCCACTAAGATGAAGAGCAGTGGACGCAACAACAACAACAACAACGGCGGCGGCGGCGGCAGCAACGGCGGCGCCAGCGCCGGGAACAAAGCAGCTCGTACCTCTCCCACCAATCTGGGCCTGAATGTGAACAGTCTCCTGAAACAGAAAGCCATCTCCACCTCCATGCACTCGCTGTACGGGTTGGGGCTGGGGCCGCAGCACCAGAAGCCCTCGGCCCTGTCCCCCAACGCCAAGGAGTTTGTGTTCCCCAGCCTGCAGGGCCAGGGCAGCCAAAGCGCCCTGTTCCCCGGGGACAGCTCGCTCAGCCTCAGCCCGCTGCAGTACAGCAACGCCTTCGACATGTTTGCGGCCTACGGTGGCCTTAACGACAAGTCCCTTATGGATGGCTTGAATTTCAGCTTAGGCAACATGCAGTATTCTAACCAGCAATTCCAGCCAGTCATGGCCAACTAGTACACATAAAAAGGTACTGTCAAGCTACTATTTCATACAGAAACGACCAGAGATAATGTGACGGCGGAAGCAAACATTAATGCACATTTTCAAAAATGAAAACGAAAAAAATAAGCGGAAACAAACAGAATGTCAAAAGTAAAAGGAAAAGTGACTTGTGACCTGTAAGATCCGAGTCTCAAGTCTAAGAGCATGAGCCCGAGGGTGAATTACTTTGCCCCCTTGAGTTAGACTTAATTTTGTTTTTCTTTCAAACAGTGAAGCTCGTAATACAAGATGTCCAGGCTTGGTTACCTAAACTTCAAAATGCATCAATGTCATTTCTTTTGCCAACCAAGCACAAAACTTTTTTTTTATGTGACTGTTTTAAGATAAAAAGAAATATAAAAAAAAAATAAAGGAGAAAAGAAACCACCACCACAAGTCATGGCCTCTTTCAGTATTTAAACATAACTGGACACAGCCAGTTTTTTCAAGAAATTGGCATAAATAAGTGGGATTTTCTGGTCTTTTTCTAATTGTATAATTTAATTTAGTACAAAGTTTGTAAAATATCAGAGTATCTATTGTTTCTACGACATGGTATTGCATTTATATCTTTTTACTACTCCAGTGATCTGTGATGGCTGCAGCAACTTTATGTTTTCTTTTTTTATTGAAATGACAAAATAAATCCATCTTTTAAAAAAAAATACATTGACTATCCTAAAGATTGTGTACAGAATATTCCGTAGTGGTGGGATTTAAGAATATTTGCTTTTTTGAAAAACATAAGAGTTGTATTTTCTGTTAAGAGTTTAAAGATTTTTGCTATATTATGGACAAAATGTAATCGTATATTAATTTTGTACCTACATTGTGCAATACTTGATAAAAACAAACGGTATAACAAAGTATTCTGAGTCAGTGTCTTACATGTTAAGAGGGACTGATAGTTTATTAAGTTTGTATTAAAAGCTTGAAAATAATAACGCTTGTGCTCTCTGTTGTTGTTTGGAGCAGGGCTGGACGAGGCTCGCCTGGGAGCCCATTAGACAGGTTGTTGGGTCTTTCTGAACATGTCTGGACACATCTAGTTCACTGCCCACAGTCTTGAAAGAGGTTTTTCCCAGCAGTGGCCCTCACCCTCCGTCACTCTTGTGCGTGTTGGAGCCTGAGCTGACACTTTGGATATTTCACTCGCAGCACAAACAACCTTTCTGGGGCAGACATCACAGGTTTAACTTATCAACCCACTTTTTTCAGGAGCAAAATTGCCAGTTGATTACATTAATGTGCCCTAACGGTTCCCTTCCCCCCCCCCGCCGCCTCTAGTGAAAACACGCTGACACACATAGGCCTTTGTGACATCTTTAACACCTACCAAAGGTGTGGGCCAACAGATGCCCCCGGTCCAAGTGACATGACACATATGTTGAGTGGGCGTGTGACCATGTCGTGCCTCAGAACTCGCTGACCTTAAAGTGCAACCTCCCAAGGTTGTTGGCCAACAGGCTGTGTAGCAACGCGGAGGCTTCTGGAGGCTTTAGCTCATGACGGCAGGCAAACTGAAACCTGTGCGGGTCTCTGATCTGGCTGCCTGTAAAAATGGCCTCTTAGAGCCCCTTAAACTACTGTCCGTATGATCAACACATCAGCTCATGTGATCACAGATCAGGTAGTCGTGTTCTACAATAAGAATCACGTGACCATGGAGCACATGATTCACTTATATAGCAACAACGATGATTAAAAAATAGACTATAGAGCCAGAGCAGGCAGTCACATTTGACCCAGTGTTCCCAGGGATACGGCTGGTTAATGAATGACCAGGGATTGTTAATGCAGGTTAGGATGTGACCAGTCTGACCATCTCCAGAAAGTGTTTTGAAATGCAGAATAAAGGAATGAGGGGAGTCCTGTTTAGACACTACAGAATTACTTTATCTGACTCCACTGTGAGTGTCTTCATGGGCTTTAGTCTTCATGGGCGTTTTTAGTCTTCATGGGCTTTAGTTTGAAGTCGTCCTAAGGTCAGAATCGTCACCGGTGTAATTTGACACAGAACATGGTCGTCGAGTCTTCGGGAGGGCAGCCGGACACAACCGCTGGGCCCGAGAGCAGAGTCAGACTAAGCGCAGCAGTTTTTCCTTTCCTGCTTAGTTTATGAGTAGGTTTCCAGCCTTGACGTTGAGATGTGGCCGGCTGAGATCAGAAGCTTTTGCGACAGCTTTTGTGCCACCGCGGGCTGGATGAAATCATCCCGACACTGCTGGCGGGCACATCAGGGTCCCGCAGGAGCTCGCTCATCACCACCCGCCTGTCTGCGTGTCCCCTGATACACCCGGGGCTCGATAGGGCCTGTGCAAAGTTCAGCGTGTGCGCGATTATCTCGGCTGCTGATATGCGCTGTGGTGGGAGGGAGTTTGTTTATCTTGGTGTGTGACACTTGTGCTGGCGTGCACGTATGACGGCCTCGGTGAGCGTCTGCGAAACGGGGCGGTTCTTAAAATACCTCAGGTGGATAATGGCCGCTTCCAGCACACTCCCGATCCATCTGGTATTCATTTTTTGGTGACACCCCGCCGTATATCACAGGACCAGTACGGGAAGCCAGGGGTAACGGGGGCAGCCACACGTTTTATCTCCCCCGTTCTGTAAGTGTCCGCTCAGCATATGGTGGGAATCAAAAGGTCACATGAGGCGGAGACATGTGAAGTTCATTAGCTGAGAAACCGAGTGTTGTTCAAGTGCTGTCATAGACGCAAATAGGGATTTTTAGACCGGCTTTAACGTATAGTTCTACATTTACAGTTCTTAATGTCCAGTAATTGATTCTACGCCACGCACCTCCATGGATGCGTGGATGGACACTGGAGGAAAAGAAGAAGAAGGAATTTGAATGCTAGAAAAAATGCGCTATTAAGGACACCGGAGAGGAAAATGCCATCAAAATGTGTGCCTGATGAAAAGAGGAAAGAATGGGATAGGCATGGGGCAATGTGACCGGCAGAGACACAGAGACACCAGTGAAGCGCTGCCAGCACTGCTATCAATGCTAATTTGATGCCAAGCTCTCCACTGACAACCCTACAACCCCCACCTCGCCTGTCATAAAAACAGGTGGAGCTCAGCTCAGCTTGTTTCCCAGCCAGCCTACGAAGCCTTATGCTAATGTCACTCTCTTCTGCAAAAAAAAAAAAGAGAAAAAAAAAAAGAAGTTAATGGCCTAGCTGTGGTCCAACTCCACATCTATTTCGGGAAGCACGGTATAACTGATTGAACAATGATAAGTTGGAAGGAATTTAGCTTTTCTCTGCACATTACTTCACCACACCTTATCTGGGCTGCACAGAAGAAAGCCGAAGGTCTCAACCCAGTCTGTCTGCTTCCCTGTCTGTCTCTAGCCATTTATTATTTTTATCAGCAGCACCAAGAAGGGAATTTAAAAAATAGATCAATTCAGGAATATTTTCTTCCCTTCTTTTTGAACATCTCAGGTCTGTATAAACACAATTGTATAAATGTTTGCTGGGAGCCATTTGTGGAAATATTCTTCAGCTACAAGTAGCTTCAGGCTTTAAAAAACAGAACAAAAGTTATGCCCTGAAGTCATGCACATGTGTTGGTAGGAACTTTACAAACGAATTGAACGATTCTGGTCGCTTTCCTCTCGCAAATATACCATTATATAATGCGTTCCCGAGTCTACGCTGCCCCACCCACACAAATACTCTGTAAACCATTTCAATTCGTGATGCATAGTGTGTTTTCTGCTTTGCTGTGGAGGCTGTAGATATCCACAGTTGGTACTCACGTCCCAGCCCTTATACTGCAGCTGCTCTTATCTGCAGAGGGAACCAAAAACAAACCCCTCTTTTCAGCCCCCCCCCCCCCCCCCCCCCCTCCCAGCACCTCCCGGGGTGACGTACTTCTGTTTCCAGGGCAGTCTATCATGCCACTCCCATACCTGCTGCTGGGTTCAAGTGATACCAAACCAAGCTGTGGCCTGGAACAAATATCTACTGGAATTACCATACACGCTTAGACATCTCAGTCCAAGTTTAAGTTGTAAAAAACCTGCTAATAGGTTATCTCCTGGGCTGTCAAGGTTTATGCTTTGCCCTATCAGATGGAAGTAAAAGGTTATCTAAGACCTCGGAGCACATTTAAATTGCTTTATGGGTTGATTTAAAAAGGTTAATGCAGAACTCTGTCAAAGTCCGCCACAGACTGAAGAATTTCGCATTTTGGTGACGGGGAGAAATGACACAGATGAAGATCACATTATGCCTCCAACTATCCCCCTGCAACTCTTGAATATCTTTGGTCAGAGCATGGCTCAAACTCAGCTTGTTCAGCAGAGATTAATAACTGCTGCGTAAGTCACGGGGGAGATGGGGACAGTATGGGATGTGGACTCCAACCCTTCATTGCTTTTTTAGAGTGTGCACATTTGTATGCAAAGTGGAGGCCCTGGGATAAACCTTTATCATCTTAGATTGAACACTGTAAACACTTAAGTCATTTTTATACAATCTATAAAATGAGTTGAAATGGAAGCATGTTAAAAATTAAAATAGATTTTTCTTTGGGAAAGAAAAAAATGCTTTACCCCATCCTATTTTGTTTATGATAGTCGTTGTCAGAATTGAATGCAAGAAACAAATATCCAAGCTTTGAGTCATCCAGCTGTCAGCTGACAGGGGCTGCTGGCCTTAGGATTATTACAGTTTCTATGCATACAAGATAGTAGGAAGGTCCAAGAGAGTCTGTTTATTATCTTAAAGAAATACCCGCCAGCAGCTTTGGAGCATGAAGAAAACCTTCAGTGACAAAGGCTCAAAGAAAAGCTGGAGCCACAAATCAAAGACCCAGTCTGACTGTCTTTAAACAGAGAGCTTTAGCAGAATCAAGTTTGGAGTTGTGCTGCTGCATTGTTCAGAGAAAACTGAACAGCTTAAATATGACCATATAGGATTTTTTCAAGAACAGGTCTTGATTGATACTAAATTAGCCTC